ATTTGTGTGAACACTGTATTTAAAAAAAAAAATAAAATAAAATAAATAAAAAATAAACATGCAGGAAGTACAGTACTGTACCATGAAAATAGTTAATGGGCAACTCTGCAATGTTTGAAGATCAAATCGGGACACATACACGTAAAATCGATAAGAATCCACACTGATGTCAATTAACGTTGCTGGATATTTTTTTTTCCAAAAGTGGTCTTGTATTTTGTCACTTGGGACTTTAGAAAAGGTGGTCACAGACTTGAATTAGAGGGCGAGCTTAGTGTTCAGAGATAGATGATCAGTTGGTACTTTAAAAAACTGGTCTTGAATTAAAGGGTTCTTAGAATTAGATGGGTCTTGAATTGTGGTTTAACTGTATTTATTAACTGACAAATACACATTTACTACTCTAGACAAACCTAAGATATAATTCAGTAGATTAATACGTCCCACTGGAAAAAATAATTTCCGTGGTTTTTAACAAAAACAATTCCTCCTCTTGTTTGGTTGAATAACTCATTGTTTAAAATTACTTGTATTAAAAAATACGACTCAACACACAAAATAATTAGATAGCAGCATTTAATTTATTGGCAACATAACAGTAAGTTCTAAATCAAACACTTACAAAGACACATTTCATTCCTCCGTCACGTCTTTCTGTTCCAACCATCCTTTCTATTATAAGCATGCTTTTCCTATTTCAAAACAACTAAATGTGCATTATACCATAGCTACCTTAAAAGCTTGCTGTTATTAATCGTGAACACAGTGGGAACAAAAAAATGTCAATAGGGCTAGTATTTTTTTCCATCGAGATAGAGTTAATGCTTTAGGAACATTACAGCACTGTTGTAGTAATGGTTAATGCAACTAAATTATTGGTGTAACAGTTTGATTTCATTTGTTTATACTATTTTTACTCACACAGTATTCACATTCTAAACTTTTCCAAAAGTTTATTATGTACAACATCTTGTATAATTTCAATATTTTATATTAACCAAACAATAATAACCAAATTTGGAGCTCATATATAAGTTTCCTTATTCATTTTACGACTGATAAATATAGGATAAATTTGACACTATGGCACACCACTGATTTCCATATTCATTGTAATGGTGATAACAAATGCCCAAAATATATTATCACTATCTTCCAAACACATTAATTTCACAAGATTTGGAGCTCACAGACAATATTAAAAATTAATATGTTTGCTGATTATAAAATATATTTGACACAATGACATGTTATTGAAGGCCTTAATAATTGCAAATTATAACAATACATCTGCAAAATTCTTGATTATTGTCCATATTTTTAAGCTTCATTATTAACAAAATCGAGCATTTTATTACTAATTTTACATTGGTTAAATATTTACTAACTTTGACACTATGAAATAATTCATGTTGACAAGAATTATGATTATCATAATTAACTACAAAATACACTCAAATAACAATAATATAATATTATTCATAACTATGATGATTATAACAATAATAACAAAAGAACTGGGAATTTTTTATTGGACAATAACAATGATTGTGATAATAATTATAATATTATAATAGAATATTTTATATTAAAGATAAAATATAATAAATATCTAACAGATGGTATAAAAATAAAGCCACCATATGACACTTAAATGGATAAGTCAAAGATTTTTAAAAAGCATAGTTGTTCGTTATTAACTTATTTGCAATGGCACGATATCATTGTATGTGTATGTAATACAGTAGTTATATGGTTGCAATCAACTTCAACACGGATAAAAAATATATCCCATAGTTGCACGCCCTGAGTACCATATCCCCACACCTAGCCCCAACAAACATTACATCCATAAGTGACCCTGCCCACATAAACATTTATCTTCATAAACATGGAATACCGGTACTGTAGAATACAGTAATGTGATCAATTATCTGACCACTCACAAGATAGCCAAAACCCTAGGAAGGAAGCTTTGATCTATACTGGAATTTTCATTAAGTCAATGACATCAAACAACTAATACACATTTGTATATACATCATATACAAGAAGCACCTGTGCAATTTCACTAATATTATTTTTACTTAGAAGAGATGGTATGGATATCTGATAAGCTTCCCATGGGAAAACTCATCCAAATAAGAGTATTTATGTCTGGAAAAATATTCGTCCCTGATTGAGTATTTATTACCTACTACTGTATAATATATTGCTGGCTATTATGAATCGTAAATTAATAGGTTTTACATAATGCATATTGTATGTTCAGATATTATTTAAAAAAAATTGTAGCAAATTATGGCAATTATATTTTTGGATAGTAACATAAAGAGAGAAAAAAAATCCAAAAAAAAAAACCCTTGAAAGTTGTACCAGAGAGAGGAAAAACACTTTCAACAAGTAGTTTAAATGAACAACAGATGCAATATTATTTCTTTTAATACTAAAAAGGCAATTATAGACAAACTTGGAGGAGGCAGAGGTTGCAGCCTACAACTAGAAGACCTGGAAGCATCTTGATGATGCTGTCCAGTAAGTAAAACTGTAATTAGCATTTTTGGATTATAAATCAAATATAACATGTTTAAAAGATATTAAGAACTGTCCACCTTTTTGAGACATCCATTCACCACCTACATGGAACTTCCAATACATTAAGACAGACTCTTCACAACACTATGGCAGAACTGTCCACTACATTAAAGACAAATGTTTCCATGATCTGTCCACTAACACAGCCATCAACCACTTGAACCATCTACCACCTTGGGGACACAGTCCACAACATTAAAAACTGTCCACAATATGGGCAGTTATTACCACAAGAGCCCATTAAGTAATTCACCACCTTATGACAATTCTGTTGTCCTGTGCAAAAAAGCAACCATTCACCAATTTCTACTTGATCTATTTGCTTATAATGGAACTATCCAATAATTTTAAGCTAGCTTTCAAATCATGGCGCTATCTACCGGTACTATCATGGAGGCATCCTTGGTCCACCACAATCCAGAACTTTCCTTCATCAAAACAATCAACAAACTAAGGCTGCAACTTCCCACCACTTACAGCTGTAGAAATGTTATAAGAATCTACCTTTTCCTTTATTATTTACTGAATTGATTTCAATTTTCAATTTGAAAGTATCAATTCAATACTGTAGTAAAATATTCCACCACCTAAAACATGGTATCTATTTCTGATAAATTAGTACTCATCAATGATTATATATCTAATTAATTAAATAACATTTGCATTTCGCAGAATCTGAGTATAATACTGATGACACAACAACATTGCAATAACTTTGACCCGGATAAGCAATATTAACAAGGAATGTAAAATGTATGTGAATACTTGTTAATTTTATAAAAAAGAACAATGCTAGTACTTTGTACAAGATTCAAACACTAGACCGAAATTATGTAAAGCCACTAGCAAAACTCTGTTACGTCAAGTACACACTGGGTGGAACTTCAACAGGACCTTGTTGGGATACATCAGTTATAGTTAGCATTAAAAGCCACAAGCGTACTATATTAATTCACACACATTTACAAAAAAGCATTATATAATTCTTTGTAACATCATAACTTTCTATTCAAAACAAGTCTCCTACTTAAAATTGCCCCATGAATTTTACAAAGGTACTGTATAAATAAAACATGAAATCAGTTTATACAAAATAATACAAAAAAAAAAGAAGAAAAAAAAGGTCTACCTGACATAGCAATACGTAAGATTGAATATGATATTATGTTCTGATTGTTTAAATGTTTTGACTCTCAGAGGCACCTCTGGAAACTGTGATGAATAATGAAAGAAAAATTTAAATACATTAATATAAAAATGACAGTTATATACAAAATGTTTTTCACATTTTATAGGTTGTTGTAAGTTGCATTAAATTTTGTCTCAAATTTTCAATATGAATATTAGTGGTTTCCAACAAGATCAAAGAAATTACGGTGAGTAAATCCTAACCAAATTTTAAAAACTAAACTAATCCTGTAATCTAAATAAACAAATTAAAGTTTAATTTACAAATTTTGAATAAAGTTAAATATTGCAATGACATTGGTTCTCGAAGTGGCTTATTCAAGGGGGGAGGGGGATGGCCAACTGGTCCAGGCCCCCTAAATTTTTCAAATAAAAAAAAAAATGAAGAGAAAAAGAAAATCATATTCAAAAGTCTGAGAATGTTATTTCCAGCCATCTAGATGTGCCATAATAAAAAATGTTCTTAAATCAGTTCCAACCACAGTGGAGCTGAGGTAGTATAGACCCTCCATCTGTGGAAGTCCCTTTCTGGGCCCCCTCTACTGCAAATTCATGGATATTTTTTGCTTGGTGGAGATCTATAAAATGCTGAAACTCTTTAATCAAGAGTACATAATGTATCCACCATTTGATATTTTGTATTAAAAACAGGGAACTATTAAACAACTGGCTTCTCAAGGATTAAATAATTCTAACTTGGCAACAAGTCAGATTCTATGTAAAATACATGCTGATATTGAAGGTCAAGCCTGTAGCTAGAGGAGTTCGAAAGAACCCCTTTTTCCAGAAATGCCCTTATAAATAATATTAAAAAAGTCACTTTTGCATGGAAGCTCCTGAAATTAACTCCAATCCTTTGAAATTTAGCATTTCTTATGAACTGGAGTGCCATATCTGGACATCTGAGGTATTTATCCTTAACATTTTCTCCAACCATGGTGGGGATGTGGTGAGTGTGGACAATTTGAAAAATGAGAACCACCCACCCCCCACACCCCTTAGAAATCCTGCCTTTGGGCTTGCCTTCTGTAATCTATAAGCATCACTCCCGAATAAGCGTGTCTTAGGTGCACAATGACACTCAAATAAAAACTCTGCAACAACATATTTGGTGATTTATTGATTGTGTTATAGCAGGGAGTTGGTTATAGTTACTTAATTAAATTGATTTTAAAGCTTTATCACTACTTGCTGGTTGATGTTTTTAAACCTACATTATATATATCTCATAATACGAAATAATTTTTATACTATTTTTACTGATTTTTGTATGCTGGGAAGTGCGTGTAACCAAATGTGTGACCATTACATATATTACATATTGTATAATACCCTATTCCAAAATAATGAAAATTAAATGATTATTAATATTTGGCTAAAATAAAAAAATATATCTGAATATGAGGTAAAATACAATTTCAGAAAGGAGAGTGCCTAGTGACCCTATCTGAACATATTATATTAGGTATTGGAAACCATATCTAAAATAATGCATATTTTCAATTATTGGTATGATTATCTAAAATCATGCAAGTAGGAAAATTTATGATAAAATAGAAAACTAGATTATGCCTAAGGCTCACAAAATAATTATTTCGATTTCAAATACTGTAACTGAGACAAATATTAGTTGACGATATTGCATTGTATAAAGTAGGTGGTTGCTAGGAGACACGGTTATTAATTTCAATACACTGAGGATTATCTGGGTGCGGGTTGAAAAAAATCATTTCGAAAACCAAGTCAGAAACATTGTTTTTATTTCTTAACTCAAGTTTATGTATTGGTGAGCCACCACTAAATTAAATAAGGCTATCTGTTAGTCTCATGCATATTCAGTTAGTCTCATACATATTAATAAAAAAAACAAGTACTGTACTATAACCATATGATCAATGGGACTCACTTGACCATACGTTTGCAGGGTGATTATCACATAAAAAACTAGAAACTAAAATACACAAAAGACAGAGACACAACAACCATTTTTAAATGTTGTATGTGCACAGGTTTCAAAATCCATTAACGTTCCCATGACCACTAAAATGTTAGCAGCCAACAGTAAGCGATAGTCATATTGATATAACAATTTGAGAAAGCCATCATAAATTTATATGTACATACCAACATACAGTACTTCATATGTACCTACATACACACATAATTATACATACCAGTATATATTATTAATTGTTTATAATATATATTGTTAATTATTTAAAAAACGGAATATGCAAGAGAGAAAAAAAATTGACCAAACAAGGATTCAGATTTTACTATTGATTAGCATTGGCGCCATGAGCAAAATGACTGATGGAATGGCGTCGTAAAAATGGAGCGATTGATTGATTGCAAGAAATACGGATTTCTAAAAAAAAAAACATGATGTAACTATTAGATGACTGAACTCGAAAAAAAAAAAAATTGCATACCGGTAATCGTTAAGAATGTTGCCTAGACTGCTTATCTATTCTAGTCACATAAAGCGCCCCCAAGACACATGCTTTAATTCTCAGATAGATAATGAAACTCGACCTCTATACATAAACCACTGACCTGGTTACATCATCATTCACATAGCAACCGACCACATGACGGATAGTCTTTGTGAAGAGCAACTTGGAACAGTCAGGCACAATTGACTCTACATGGCAAGATCTATAATATGCGGACGATGTTTGGAAAAACAAGGCACATAGTATGGCTCCACAAGGAATATTCTATGAGCGGAAGAAATTGGCATCAAGAAACCATCACCTAAATTGTAATTAGTTTAAGTTATATAAAATATATTTCAGATCATGATAACCACTATAACACTTCTGGTATTAAAAAGATCATCATGATAAAACTGTATAATGCAATAAAAAAAGTATTATAATAATGGGATAATTAACAAACATTAGATTAATAAACAATAGTAGAGTTGATTGTTTAAATTCTGGTTTCACTTATAGTCTATCTACTACTGATAGTGTTATTAGAATGGGTGGGAATCTTTCTAATATGCAGTGCAATTACACTATTTAGAGGCTTGAAATCCCAAAACCAGAATCAGCGACCAAATGCTTGTTATATTAAGGTCTCAAAATTCTAATTAATAAAAATACTTTGAAAAAGATTACCTTTCTGTGCATTTCTAAATTCTGATATTGATGTAAATTCGCACACAGCACCAGGAATCTTATTCCAGATTTCAGTTGCATTATGTGCGTGAAACAAGAACAAACGATTTTAGGACTTAAGCAAAATGAGTGCCATCCTTAGCAGAATGAACACCTAAACAAAATTGCTTATAGTATTTAAGACACACTGTAAGATTATGAGGTGTATATAAATGTTCACAACTGGCATATTAATACATAGTACATTTAAGGAAAAACATGCACATTAATCTACCAACTATTATATTCTTTGTTTTTGATCACAACATCAATGAGGATTCACTAATCAAATATTGCATCATTCAATTATAATACAATTGATCGTCAATATATAAATTTGTCAATACCATATTCAGACACCGACAAGATACAAATGTCGGTAGCGAGGATTCTGATTGGGATGGCGAGAATTTTTCAGGCTTTATCATAGTCAAATATTAACACACTGGCTGCCACGCCTATTCTTCTAGTTGTTGCCCATGTGCCAAAACATAGATAGCGCCGCCGTAATGATTATCATTACCATCGAACCGTAACAAATGGAATGTATTTTTCACTGCTTCCAGGTTTTTCCTTGAACTGCCAAGCAAAAGTTAGTCATCCGGCCATCAACGCCAGAGAATTTCCATACAATACCAAAGTGCTACGTTTGGATGCTTTGTAGCCAATATGTTAATCAGAGGTATTTAATAATTAATAAAAAGCCCATTGGCTATTTAAATGCAAGAATGTTGTATTATAACCTGGCAAGTTGATAATTATGCATATCATTTCCATAAAAAAAAAAAAATGGAAAACGATGACCAGAAAATGCAGCCCTAGCCAACACATTCAAATTTTTAAAAAATTCTGAACATCCCTGATTTATTCTCATACAAAAGCTCTCTATGATAAACATAGACCCAATCATAAGAGTATTTGATTGTCATTTCAATATTGATTCCTACATGTTCTATGACCAATTTGTTCAGGTATATTTGCGAATGTTCCTTATTAATTTCAGTATGGTATACAAAAATCCAATCATTAATTTTTGGCAATATTCCAACAAAATTCCACAGTATTAGAATCACGTTATATTTGGTTTGATGCTTGGTAATCACTGTTTTCCATGATTGATAGATATATAATATAAGAATATCAACTTTAAGATTTGATTTGATATTAAAATAGCTAATCTATACCAGGACTGGTTTGATTAAAATATATAATATTAATATGATATAATTGTTATTGTTAAGTCTGTTCATTACACTTTATACCAGACCCATGAAAACTAGTGCTTTGATTCCTGATCTATCCAACCACTGATTAGTACCATATACTACCACTGGTTTAGTACCACATCTATCTAACCATTGGTTTGAAATGAAATATCACCACCGGTTAATATGAAATACCACTATACCTGCAGGTTAGAAACCAAATCCTTGCTGTACCACTATTGGTTAGATACTACCTGATCCATACCACCATTGGTTAGATACCTGATCCATACCACCATTGGTTAGATACCAGTGCCATACTACTATTGGTTAGACACCAGATCCATACTACCATTGGTTAGATGCTACCAGATTCATACTACCATTGGTTAGATGCTACCAGATTCATACTACCATTGGTTAGATACCAGATGCCTACCATATTGATGGAAGAGCTTTTAATAATTAAATTACAGTTGTTTTAACTCTTCTTTGTTAAAACGATGCCAAATCAGACCATGGAGATCCTCAATGACGCCATGGCCTGATCATTGAGGAACAAATAAATATAAGTTATTTCTCCGTGATCTAACTAGCATTGCTGAGTGTATATTTTTAAATTCTTAATTAATTCTACAACTATTAGCATTTTATATTCTACTATATAAGCAATGACCACCTATCAACATCATTTCACTATTAAGTACACAAGAATTGAAATAGTACTAGGGGTTACAATTTGGTACACATCTTTTTCTATATCATATTCAAAATTAGCAAATTTATTGCAGATACTGATTATTATACCTTTGGTAACTATTTTTTTGTTTTTATATTTTTAAAAAGTTTTAATGGATCACAAACACTGGAATAAATAGCACCAATAATAATGGCTTCTATTATACCACACCACAGCAGAATCGAATCCCTGCAACTACAAAATATTACACAGCTATACCACTGAAAGCATCAATAAAGGCTTATTATTATTATTATTTTAAAATGGAAAACCAGGCAAAAATAATTTGGATTCACTAATTACTTTGGTCCAAATAACAAAGGATATTGTCTTTAACTTCTATAATGTTAGAAAGTACAATATATATTAATATTGTACTTTCTAACAATATTAATATATATTGTACTTTCTAACAAAAGTACAATATATATTAATATTATTTGTTAAATTTGATTTGATTCATTAATCTATTTCTAACATGCAAACTAAGAAAAATTACAAAAGTTGTGCTTGCTTGGTCTGGCATGGACTACGGTGGAATTAATTGGATGATACTCAATACCAATCTGAAAGAATAATAAAAAATATTCATTAATCATTCATTAATAATTAATTAAATCTGACAAAATATATCAAATGTATGTCTATTCAGTCCTCAATATTTCATTTCAATCACTTGTTATAAGTAAATAAAAAACTGAGAGATAAAAAAATAATAATTGATTATTAAATAAACAATAAATAATAAGCAATAAACAATAAAAATAATATATTAATAAACAATAAGCATATCATAAAATAGTAAACAAAAAATAAAAATAAACAATAAAATAATAAAAATAAAATACATAATAAAAATATTAATTATATTAAAAATTGTAATAGTTTCCGTGGTCACCTGTAACTAACAAAAAATTATCGTGGACATTCATTAATTTATTACAAGCAAAATGGGAAAAGATTATGCTGTTGAATTTATTAAAAATTGTAGCTTTCTCCAAAATTGGGCAAATAGAGTGTTTATTTGATGTACACGTTGTGATTGGCTTGAAAGAAAATCTCCACGCCATTAACACAGACTTGTAATGGGACTCTAAAACTGAATCCTTTAATCAATTGGAGATCGCGAGGAGAATAACAACTGCTTTCCACAAGAGATGATTCTTCCAGTCGATTAAACCCATTACGTCTCCTTGGAAGCAGTAAACAATGCAAGCATGTTGCGTGTATTGATTTGAATGGTGTGAATCATCATCACGATCATATGACGACAACAATGAGTCAACAAGAGAGCACATGTATTCACATTTGGATCTGATTTAAGAGGGCATCATGGATGTACATGGGAAAAGACTCCTTTCCTTAATAGCCTTTTTCAAGAGGATTTTTTTCATTTTCTCCCTAACTTAATGCTGAATCACAGTAATAACATAGCTTTGGGTTGCCAAGTGGATATAAAACTTAAGTACAATCTTAGTCCGTAAATTTATACAATACTATACAGTATTTCTTTGAAATAAACTCCTCCCTCAAATAAATGCCCAAAGTGTTTATTTTTTCCTCAAGTAAATTTCCCACAAAATGACTGTAAACAAATCTAACGAAGCAAAATCATTCTCAACACATTTCATTAAAGTTCTACTCCAGTAGAATTACATTTTTCCTGACCTGGTTGGGATGAATAATTAAACGCCCCGGGGCTTTTATTTGATTAAATACTGTATATTTAGAAGACACAATACTGTATGAGAGGTACAAATTGTATTTAACGAAACCTGTAATTTGAAATGGAACATTTCTCTGATTTCTTCTTAATACTACTTTCACAGCCAATAGAAATCAAAACACTTGAAACTTTAAAAAGGATGTAACAATCTCTATCCATATCTCAGGGCATGCAGAGTTTTTTTTCCCCCAAGGACAAGTCTGCTACAGTACTGTATTCTTTCAATGAAATTAACAATTTATAAGAAACTAATTAAATTAAATTGGAAGTTTAATATCCTTGGTGACATGGTTAATTAGGAAAGCCAATTACGTAGTAAGCTGGTGTGTTTTTCAGATCATACTAATGTCTCAATCAATTTCCAAAAATGTCACTTTTATAAGACCAGTGTCATTTTGGATATCAAAATGAAAAATGCACCAATTAAAATTGTCATAAAGATAGCCCATCTGCGGTAAAATCTGAACATCCTTAAATATTTAATTAAAATATTGAATTGCTCATTTTAAGAGGATCAAGTAATTGATCAATTTCCAATGAGACACAGGTCAAAACAATTAAGTTTGCACCGAATATTTACTACAAAAATCCTTTGATTATAGAAATACAATGACATTAGGAATGGTATTATTTTACATGGTGTCTGACTAATTGGCAAAGAAAATTTTTTTTTTTCTAATTTACAAAATAATTTACAAATTTAAAGTTAATCTTAACATAGAGCAAAGAAACAGTTTCTTTGCTCTATGATCTTACTTAATATACACCGACTTAATATTTTTTCTTGGTTTATTACATGGCACAAAAAGATCTTTAATGATAAATTATTGTATATGTAGTGCCTTAAAAACTCAACATAAACTGTCAATGTGCCAATCTGATGTTGAATCTATGTTTGGTTAACTATTATGTTGATGCTGTTGCATTCATCACTACCTATTACATCATCATCTCCATCGCTACCTCAATCACTGCAATTATTCGTTATAATAGTAACAAACTTGAAAATTATACTTCAACAACCATATAGAATTACAAAGCTACAATTAAAATTACAAATTTATATAGAAAGCAAAGATTTAAAAAAAATCAAAAGCCTATTAAAGAGGCATTTCATGCAAAATGCAAAAAACAAACAACTGTATGTTAAAGTAGTGATGAGGATGATGGTGATAATGGTGATGATAATGATTATGGTGATGATGATGATGACAATGATGATGATAATGATTATGATGATGATGATGATGACGATGATGATGATGATGATGATGATAATGATGACGACGATGATGATGACGAAGACGATGATGGTAATCACCATTAACAAAATCATTTCATGACATTTACCATCAACATCATCCCCAAGGAGATTTTCTTCAGATTTAATGACAACCGGATTGTTTATATTAATGAACATGTGGCATGAAATGTTGTCGCACTCATTTTGAGATAATGAATAAAGAACTTAATTAAATTTATGAGCAGACAACAAGCTCACATCCAACCAATCACAGATCAGATTACCAAAGACAAAAACAGAATTGGGTCAAACGCACATGAACTCGGCGCAGAACAAAACCCATTCTCTTGCTAGTTCACATTCAGCCCCATCTATTATAACTATTCACGGGGATACGGCTCCAGTCGCGCATCCGAGACAAAGCCGATGTGTTCACGACAGTAATTCTATCTCCGGTATTGGTCTCTCTTTAATATCTCACCAACTGTTTAGTAATTATTGTCCATCCGTTACAAACACAGAGACACATGGCAACACATAATCTCGCTGAGTCATTCATATGTTCACACATAACTGTATACTAGTGCAACAGATCATAAACAAATTTTCAGAAGTAGATTGTAACAAAATCAGAAAATTTAATAATACATACATGTACTGTTATTCATAAAGCAATTAGAATTCTATAATATCTGTGATACATGGGAGGCTCTAGAACCGGATATATTTAATTTAAATGCAAGTAGCATAAAACCTCGAATTGAAGCCCAGTGGGCTTAATCTCAAGATGAGGCCCATCTCGAATTGAAGCAACCCCCTTTTAAGTTTGCAAACAGCACCTGTTGAGTCTCGGCCATCTCGGATTCGGGCGCCTCCTATCCTAGTTAAGGCTCTAAAAGCTAGCTGGCATGGAAATAGAAAAAAAAATTAATTAAAGGGACGAGAATAAGTGGGTCTTAAGTCGTTCTTTGAAAATGGTGACCCATCACGAAGGTGACTCACGAATAAATAAAGGCAACAAGTTCCACAACTTGGGCCCAGCAACCATAAACGATCGCTCCCCACAAGACTTTAACCAAAAGGATGGACAATAAAGATTGGTTGAGTCAGTTGTTGACCGGAGGGAACGAGTGCATGTTGCAGAACGAACCTTAATTAATTCGGAAATGTATTTTGGTGATAACTTGTGAATTGATTTGTAAACATATAAAAGTACTTTGAATTCAATACGCTGTTTCACTGGCAACCAATGAAGACGACCGAAGAGTAGGGGTGATGTGACGGAATTTAGGTGTCCCAGTGACAAGACGAGCAGCGATGTTCATCAATAGCTGCAGCTTCCTAATTGATGTTAATGGTATTCTGTAAAGGACTCCATTACAATAATCCAATCTTGAACCAGAAAATGACACCATTTTCAAATTTTATCGTGAAGCTACATCTCAACTCCACCATTAATGAATGTGGTTTGCTCTAAGATAGTGTAATAACTACATCTAGATGTGTATAAGAGACAGGGACTACGGTGGAATTAATTGGATGATACTCAATACCAATCTGAAAGAATAATAAAAAATATTCATTAATCATTCATTAATAATTAATTAAATCTGACAAAATATATCAAATGTATGTCTATTCAGTCCTCAATATTTCATTTCAATCACTTGTTATAAGTAAATAAAAAACTGAGAGATAAAAAAATAATAATTGATTATTAAATAAACAATAAATAATAAGCAATAAACAATAAAAATAATATATTAATAAACAATAAGCATATCATAAAATAGTAAACAAAAAATAAAAATAAACAATAAAATAATAAAAATAAAATACATAATAAAAATATTAATTATATTAAAAATTGTAATAGTTTCCGTGGTCACAACCAATGAAGACGATGAAGAGTAGGGGTGATGTGATGGAATTTAGGTGTCCCAGTGACAAGACGAGCAGCGATGTTCATCAATAGCTGCAGCTTCCTAATTGATGTTAATGGTATTCCGTAAAGGACTCCATTACAATAATCCAATCTTGAACCAGAAAATGACACCATTTTCAAATTTTATCGTGAAGCTACATCTCAACTCCACCATTAATGAATGTGGTTTGCTCTAAGATAGTGTAATAACTGTAGCTAGTGTAACTAGCTAGTACTACTAGCTACTACTAGCTAGTGTTGCTTGGTGGTTAAGATGCTTGCCTTCTAAGTCCAAATCCTATCAAAAATACCTGTTATTTGCCTATATATGGGTATAATATGACATCATCATGCCTGATGGATATGATATGACATCATCATACCCATACATGGGCAATTCACACATATTAGTTGTGGATAGCGCTTTACATGACTAAACTCCACTCCTAATACATAATTCACATGCAAGGCAGTTACAAAATATCTCCCAGGATATTCCTACCAAGTTTTATTGTATTCATGCACACATACTTGAAATTAAGATTGAGCAAATAATTAGAACACCCCTAGGACAGGCCTAGTGAAAAAAGGGATGTTGTGTAAACTAACAAAAATGTTTATGTATGTCCTACGGTTACAAATACTAGATAACAAAATAATCAAAAAATCATAT